TGTCTCATATTCACCTCCCCAATACTGGACTATATCCACTTAAAAAAAAAAAAACTTGTTGACCATCTCAACTGAACCTTGTAAAATTGACCAATACCTCTTGACCAACTCCTCTTGACCAACTCCTCTTGACAACATCTCTTGACCAACTCCTCTTGATCAACTTCTCTTTAAACCCTTAAACTGACTCGCTCCCCTTTGATCAAATCAACGCTACCATCTTTATTTGTCTGTCTCCTCTAATCTCGCTCATTTCTTAACCACCGCCTTCTTCTGACTAGCTCATATACTGACCTCCTCCGCTCACCATCTCCCCAACCTCCTCTCACTGACCTTGTCCTCCTGACATCCTCCTCAGAGCCTCCTCCTTTTGACCTCCTCCTCTCCACCTCCTCCTCTCGACCTCCTCATTCTGACCTCGTCCTCTTGAACTCCTTCTCTTGATCTCCTCGTCCTGACCTCCTCCTCTCGACCTCCTCATTCTGACCTCGTCCTCTTGAACTCCTTCTCTTGATCTCCTCGTCCTGACCTCCTCAGCCTCATCCCCTTTTCGTCAGGACCTCTTACTCCTTACATCCTCCTCATGCCATGACCTTTGAGCATCTGCTTTGATCTCCTCCTCCCCCTAACGCCCTCAGTGATACACGCTGACACCGTGCACACGGCAACGCCCTACCCCCACCATCCATGCTTACTTACCCACTGAGATGTCCACTTCTGACAGCGGTAGCTTTTAGCCATGATTACTATAATACCATACTTCAACATTTAGTGCAATCTTGATGATTAAAGTCCAACATATAAAAAACAACAGAACATCGTCAAATTGTCCTTATGTGGCACGACCATTTACGGTTTTTTTAATAGTGATGGAAGGGCCGTTCGTTTTACAGAGGAATGGATAGATCTTTTAACAATGATTACATAGTGACTATATGCTGATGAGGTAGGGATTTTAGACTGATTAAATAGTAACTAAATGGTGATTAAATATTTTGTGAATACTGACCCGGAAAAAAAAAACTAAAACATCACAGGTTTATTAATCTTGTTTCTATTAATTTTTTTAAAAAAAGTATTGAATAGAAAATAATTATTAAAACATGTTTGTTTTTATTTATTTGTTCCTTTTTTTTTTTTGATGTTTTTTTTGTATGCATTAGTTTTTTTTTTCTAATGTATTTGTATGTTGTTGTTTTTTTTAATAGTGGGGTGGTTGAGGGAATAGTGTATTCATAGTTCGGGGGAAGGGGAAAATGTAACAGACAATTTAAAGACAGCTGGGGACCAAAGGTTCAGAGCGAGAAAAGAGAGAGAAAATAAGATAGAGAGAGAGAGAGAGGCAGAGAGAGAGAGAGAAAAAGAAAGAAATTAGACAAAAAGAGGAGGTAGGAGTGGTTGGGATGGAAGGAGGATGAGAGAGAGAGAGAGAGAGAGAGAGAGAGAGAGAGAGAGAAGAGGGGAGGAAAAAAAAAGGAGAGAAGGTAAAGGGAGAAAAAAAATGACAAAAAAAGAGAATTCCAGATTGAGATGAGCCAGTTCTATTTTGAACAATCTCCGTCACAGTGTTATTGACGGTCCCCTGAAAAAACAAAACAAAAAAGTACACTCACACTCACCAGCCGCACGACTGTCCCCCTTTTGTAATTGTTACACGTGGCAAATATTGACTCAACAAAACCTCTGGCGCCTCAGGCGAGAAAATCTTTAGACAAAATATTGGCATCCATGTAATTTTTTTATTTTTTTATTTTTTTTCGAGTGGGGTCACCGTTCCTGAAAGCGCCATGCAACTCTCGTTAACCCTCCGCTATTTTTTCGGGGATTCCCTGACCTTGACCCCTGGAATTCGACAACGCTTTGGCGGTTTTTTTCGGAATCGAGATTATGTGTACGGTTCTATGAAAATTGTGCGTCAGGGTAAATATGATACAATGTTGGCTCTGCGGCCATTTTTCTTTTCGTTTGCAGCTTTGATTAATGACGGGATGTTACGTCAAGCCGTGAAAGAAGCTTTTCGTTGTATGATGGGAAGGGGCGTGCTCCGTAGAGGGTTGGGGGGGGGGCTTGGGCCTGGTCACTTAACCCAGGGCCGGCGCTAGGAGGGTGCGGGGCCTTGGGCAAATTGAATTTTGCGGGGGGGGGGGCGTTGACGTTATATATTCAGCCGATAGGATATACAGACATGTTATAGTCGTACTGGGGCCTTGCTGGTCATAATGGGACGCGTCATAACGGATATTTGTTCACTCGCTTAGTTTCCGAAATTTCTATTTTTTTCTATATAGACTACGGCAGCGTGTGGGGGCCCCCTCAAACGTGGGGGCCCCCTCAAACGTGGGGGCCTCTGGTGGACGCCCACTTCGCAATCCCCTTAGCGCCGGCCCTGCTTAACAACACCATAACCACACCATAACCACACCATAACCACACCATAACCACACCATAACCACACTATAACCACACCATAACCACACCATAACCACACCATAACCACACCATAACCACACCATAACCACACCATAACCACACCATAACAACACCATAACCACACCATAACCACACCATAACCACACCATAACCACACCATAACCACACCATAACCACACCATAACCACACCATAACCACACCATAACCACACCATAACCACACCATAACCACACCATAACCACACAACATGTTGGTGTTGTTGTTCTTTGTACGGATGCTTGTGGATTACGTGTTTTGGAATACGTGTGGTTTTTTTTTCCGGGTTAGGTTAACGTTTCTCGGAACGGTCCCATAGCCTTAAGGGCAATGTCGTTAAGATAACAATCATGACAAACGGTCATTTTCATCTCATCTGAACAATCCTTTTTTTATTTAAAAAAAAAACAAGAGTATGGGGGGGGGGAGGATGATGAGATGTAAGAGTTGATGCCTTAATGTACAATTCATACGAACTGGGGTAAACATATTTACTGTCAACCTGCCCTCACACACACACAGCCGTAACGATCAACACAGTTAAATGGCAAAGAATTCTTTATTTTGAAGAAGAAAAAAAACTTCCATCTAAACCAGCGGTTCCCAAACTTTTAAGTTTCACGGATCGGTGGACAAGTTTCGAAACTTCACCAGGGACCGGTGCCAGATTTTTTAATTACATTTTCTTTCTATTTAAACATCAAGATTCATGCTCTCCGGGTCCGGGCCGGTAACGTAAAGCTTGCGGACCGGTGCCGGCCGACGAATCACCGTTTGGGGAACGCTGATCTAAACTACAAAATCCAAATCTCGCGTGGACTTTTAGAAGCATCTGCTTAAATAGAGATGTGTGCCCCCCCTCTCCACCCTACCCCAAACCCCCAACACCCCCCCCCCCCCC